AGACTGGGTGCAGACATAACTGCTACACAGCCGTGATGTAGCACAAACAGGGCCCAGTGAAAGAACCTCAGGGTAAAAGCATCTCCTAGGGTAAGGAAGGGCTGGCCCTCGCTTCTAGCTTTCTTCACAATACCTCCTATCAGCAAAGGAGCTGACCTTGTACTTAGCCAACTAAACTTTTCAACTAAGCCAACTAAACTCCTAGGAGGGTGGGATACACTCAAGGCCCTGACAGTACCCTCTTGTCCCAGTGACTGAGTCAGGTACGTTTGCCTACATGGAGAATAGATTTTCATCCTGTCTGTGGCAAGGAAAGATGCTGGGAGGAGGATTCCCATGAAGGTGCTGGATAGCATTTGCACTGTTTGGCTGTTTTTGCCCTTGGAGTGAACAGTCACATGCAATGATTGCGCAACTTCATAAAGCTAGTTATTGGACTGCTATGGACCACTTCCTGTCTTCACGGATTACATGCCACTGCCCTTAGGCAGAGGTCATCAACCCATAATACAGACATCTGATTTGCATAGATTCTGAAAGATAAATAATATGCATAAGCACCTTGAGAGGCCTTTTAAAGAGGCTCCTGCTTCTTGTTCCAACAGATCATTAAACTCAGTAGGAGCCAGCACTTCTTGCTTTACACAGACATGAGATACTAGTGACAAGCTGGTTGGTGACATCTTTCCAGCAGAGCTTCTGCTAGTGTGCATCATCTTTGGTGCAGAAAATAAAAACACAGTCTAGCAGAGTGGTGTTATTGAGTCTAACCTGGGGGGGCTTTGTTTTGTTTCAGCTTGTCTCAGGAACAGCTTATATCAACTGGTGGTGTGTGGGAGGCATGTGAGCAAGTGTCCAACCTGCCACGAGGTGAGTACTGTGTATGCAGAACAACAGAACTAGGATGTGTTGTCTTGGAACATCAATAGCCCTTGCAAGGGGCATTCTAGTTAGTACAATGAAGGCTCACTCGTTCTGCAAAACCCGACTGTTTTGAAATGTATAAGCTTGGAAGCCAGGCCAGATTCTTTGCATAGCAACAATGCAGCTCTGAACTCTGCAAAAAGTTTGATCCTATAATCTCAAGATCTAATGATTGCAAACCTAGATGAACGTTGTTGCAAGCTGATTTGAATCAGTGCAGTGCCACGGTTTTCATCCTTTTGCTTTTGCAGATAACCAGGCAGCAGTTGCGTCAGCTCTGGCTGCATGTCTAGGTGTGGTCAAGGATGCTCTGGAGGAGATGGAACATGTAAGGAAGCCCCTAAGCCTTTGAAGAACCTGCAGTGATGGATTGCAGTGATGGTTCAGTGATGGAACACAGGGATTGTTTTATATACAGGCTTTGATTTAAATTTGTTCTGATATGACCTAGATTATTGTATTATGCCTGGATCTTAATGAGTTTTTAAACTCAAGCCTGGTTTACTTTACATAAGGTTTCCATAAAGTGATGTCCTGAACTGCAGGGGGAGTGGGGTGGGGCGGTGGGGTGGTTTAGGTGGATGTAAGAATGGCACTATTTGCCAGGTTCTTGCTGTTTGCTCTGTTGAATTGGAGTGGGGGATTAGTTTTTCTTAATCCAGTCCTGCTAGGATTAACAGAATCTGGCAACTGAGATGCTGGTTGGAGAGAGATTGCTCCATAAATTATTTGTATGATTTCTAGATAATGTTTTTCCTTTCCTTCTGGGTGTTGCTGGAATTGATGTTAGGCTCTGGGTTTTCAGTGCATCTGTATTCTCAGGCTCTGGTGGAAGGGCAAGATCCCTACAGTGACATCATGGAAGATGAAGAGCTGGGCTTTCGAGGCAACAGAGATACATATTGGTCAGAAGCTGACCGGAAGCTACTTAGCTCCTGCATGGGATTAATGAAGGCCTCTAAAGCTTGCCTGAAGAAGGTCTTGGGTGTAGTGAAGGCTTATGGCAAAGCTGATTCTCCAGAGCAGATCGCTCAGCTGGATGATCTTGCAGACATTGCTAATGAGATCAGTCCAAGGTAAGCAGGTCTGTCCCCATGCCACTTTTTGCTCCAGAGCAGTCCCTGTCTTTCTTGAGGTCTAGAGAATGGATTAGGAAAACTTTTATGATATTGAAGCTGTGAGCAGGTGGTGGAAGTAGGTGTGGTGGGAGGACTATGATGGCATATGCTGTTGAGAGTTGTGCAAGTTAGGAGAGGAACATACGTTGCAGCTTGGGGTGGAGCTGTGGCCATGTCTCACTGTAAGGTGAGAGTGGCACACAGATGTCTGAGAAGGCAGTGAGAAGCATCCCATGGGTATGACTGATGTTGTCTCCTTGTCATGCACTGCTGTTCCTGACTTACATTCAGGGTGAGTGTAGGCTTTGACCAGGATCCACGAGTTGTGCTATCAGGACCTTTCTTCCATTGCTCCCCTCTCTTCTATTCTAGTGTTGATGAGCTGGCACTGAGCATGTATCCACCTATGAACCAGTTGGCTGTGCGACTCAATGTAAGTATCTGCAGCCTGCATGCAGGTCTACTCACTTGGCCGTAGAGAAGGGGAAGAAATGGAATTGGAGGGATTAGCTGACTGTCAGGGAGAGGTGGGTGTTAGTGACTGTCTCAGTAACAAGTTCTTAGGGATGAAGAGTCCCCTTTGGTTCTTGCACACTTCGCTTCCTTCACGTGGAAATGCATTCCTCATCTTTACTTCTTCAGAGAAGAGCATGGCCACTTGAGCTTTGGCTCTGAACCATAATCCATAGAGACGTCCAATGACTACCTCAGGAAAGTGAGGCCTAAGGCTGCCGATGTATTGCATGTCTACTTTTTTACTTGGGTAATGTAGACTTGCTCAAATAAAGTTATCTAAATTAAAAATATAAATTAAAAATTCTCACAGTGAGTGTGGTTAAGCTACTGAAACAAGCTGGTCAGAGAAGCAGTGGAATCTCCATCTTTGGCAATATTCAAAACTTGACTGGGCAAGGCTCTGAGCAACCTGACTGAACTTTGAGGTAGGCCTTGCTTTGAGCAGGAGGTTGTACTATATGACTTCCAGGGGTCCCTTGCATCATAAATTAAGTACGTATCTTCCCATATCTGAGATTTTTTTATTCTTAAATCTGGTTTCATGCCTTTGGCCAGTGGCTTGATTTTTTTGGCATAAAAAAGACAGTATTGCTTTATATCAAATTGCATTACAGTCAGTCACTTGTAACTTCATGCCTTAATATGTTACAATTTCTAATAGGCTTACCTTTTTAAAGAAGAAAGCATTTTAATGTATGCTTTAATAAACAGCCTGTCTTTATTTTCACCTGTCCCAGCCAGCAGTAGGTTGGGAGACACTCCCAGCATGACAGTGATAGATAAGATACCTTCTGCATCAGGATCTGTGGCAGTTTTACTCATTCTTGGCTGTGTTGGGCATTCCTGCACCCCCCTTTCTTTTCCAGTACTGCTGAGCCCCTTTTTTTCTGTGTTTGGCTTACTTTATTTCCTTTTTGTTTCTTTCTAGGCTGCTAAGTTGGCCTCGGTATTAAAGAAGGTCTTAGAGATTACAAAGTGAGTATGAGTTACAGTTTTAGAAGTGTGTGTTCCCTGCTAAGAAGGTTGATCTCTTTCTGCCTCCTGTCAAAGATGAACTCATTTCTAGACAGTAAATGCTGGCATTTTGGAATAATTATGATATCCAGCCACAAAGGGATGGGAGTAAGAAAAGGATGGTAGGGATGAAAGTGGTTCCCACTGAAGACACACATATATGTGTTAAGGTTTGGGACTAGAGACTTGGATGTGGGTTATTCCTTGCTCAAAGCACTCTGGAGCTATAGCAGTCCTGTTTTAATGCTGTGGTAATTCAGCACTTCACAATACACGTGTTGTCTGGATGCATAGGTGTAAGACACCCAGGAGGCTTTCCTAATGAATTTCCTCCACTTTTGCAGGACAAGCCATGTATGTCCACCATCAGAGGAAGGCTGGGTGCAGTTTCTATCTGGTGCAGTAGATCACAACATGAACAAAATCAAGAACTTCACACAGGGTCAACTTTAGCTCTTCCATGTCTACATATGTTGCTGCCACTGGCTCTGGCATATGCTTTTCCAGTGAATCTCGCTGTTCTCCAGCTAGTGGGAGAATGATGAGAACGATGTTTTTAGGAGAGAACTTTACTGCCACTTGGTAAAACTTTCCCAGGAAGTTGCTCTTTGCCATTGCAGAAGGTGTCGTTTTGCTTGGATTCCTGGGATGGTACAGTGCTGCATCTTAATGCTGTGAATGTGCCCCATTCTTCAGACATTACAACTACTATGGGGTTCAAAGAACAATAAAATATTGCTAGATTTGCATGAGTGGCTTTATCTGTTTTCAGGTGGCAGAGGATATATACAGAAGGAAAGGGTCTTGCTTCTTTTGCAGGCAGCCCAATGAACCATTAAAAAATATGCAGCACTGCTGCTATTTCCTGTCTAGCCTTAGGGAAGAGTGAAGTATCTTTCTCTTCTCTATTTCCTCAGAAAGCAGTAGAAAATATTATTTACTACTTTACCAACATCAAGGATCTGTAGGGGGATAAGAGTATATCTCTAGAGAAATGCTACATCTATCATCACTTTAAAGTTCTAGGATATCCTTTTTTTGCCACGGGTAGGGAAAAATGACTAAGCAGTGGTGGGTTCAGCACATATGCATGGTGAGAAATGCAGCATCTGCTTGAGCATTTAGCCCATCTTTGTCACAGTAAGGTTCAACTTACAAAACTGGAGAGTGGGCATAGTGGCAGATGGGAGAGAGTTGAGTTTGTACAAATAATCAAAGTCAGACATGGTTTTAAATATAACTTTAATTAAACTGTTAACATCTATGCTTGCCTAAGTTCAGGGCACAGATCACGATCACTCTTTTCTAAACAGGACAGCAAGACCTGTTCTAAGTTGGGCATCAGGCAGCTGCAATGTCGATAGTTTTGTAGCTCTTCAGGTTCTGGAGTTGAAGGCAGGTAAGATGTGCAGTGAGTCTTCTGGGCCCTGCTTGGGTGGGGGTGAATGGGATTTGCAGCTGTTGAATGCTTTTAGGTTGCACAGAGCCCAGCCTGAAAGGCAAGAGGGATTATACAGGAAGCATACCTCTTTGTATTTCTAGTTCCAAGGGCCCAGGAGGTGCATTTGCTAGACAGGAGTGTGGTGCCAAAAAAAGGAAAGAAAAAAAAATAGAAGGCAGCTAGCAGTTATCTAAACTACCACAATGGAATTGTGATCTGACAGTAGTTTGGGAGGGATATGTGACAGGAGGGTTGAACTCCCCACGGAGGCATCTAAGGTTACTTTGTCCTAATGCAGCTTCTTGAGAGAAATGGGTTGGATTTTTTTTTCATGTGAAGGAAAGCATGCTTTTTTGGATAACTCTTGGCTAAGCCAGGTTTGCCTGGTTCTTTAGTAGGGAAGGGAAAGACACTGTTGAAATTGTACACAGGGACTGTCTTTATTGCTGACAGTGGGTAATGGGTGGAAAGATACGTCACAAACAGTATAGTTTTACCCCACTTATGGATGTTCAAGTGGCTAGCTAAAAAGCAATTGATTTCTCAACAGCAAATAATTTCTAAATTTCATAGCTCATTTCAGTGACCTATAACTGTTGTCTTATTTAATGTGTATTTCTGCCTAAGTCTTGTGGTACTTCTGTTGTTACCCTTTTTGTTGACAGAGGACTTTCCTTCTGCTGTCTAGGCCTTTGGGGTTGAAGCTTTCGCACAAATGTCATACTGGCTTCAACTTATGTATTACACATCTGTTGAAAGTTCTGTTATCCAGCTTTTTTCCTTTTCAGTGTGAAAATCTTCTGTATTATCTGTAAATAAAGGACGGGATGCCTGGGGCTTTCACGCTGTAGCAGTCTCTTCCTGCCATGTTGGTGCCCGCTTATTTTGGGGGACAGCCTTTCCTGTGCAAGGGTTTCTCTAGCTTGTATTGTGTCTCTTTTTCCATTTACCATTCTTAGATCAATCAGTTTGCACTTACTTGTACTTCCTTTGTCTGTAAATGAGCCCTCGCCCTGCAACCATGATCACACACTTCTCCAAGGGTTCGGTGAGAGGGTTCAGGAGGCTGATCTTTGCTGTGCTTGGCTGATACTGTACCACATTTTCTGGAAACTGTTGAAAAAAGGAAATGAGCTGAAACTGAGAGAAGGAAAGAGATTCTTCTATGATTAAAGGGAGATAAATGATTTTTTTGGTGCCAGAGGTCTCAGCCTGAGCTGCCAGTTGCCAGAAGAGGCAAAGTCCAGCTTACTTTCTTCTCAACTAGTCTTCTGCTGTAGTTTCCTCCTGCAGCCTCTGATTTCCAGACTGGTGAGCGAGTTAGGAGTCATCAGGATTTCCTTACGCTCAAATATAGACAAGGTAGAAGTGGCAGTACTGTATACAACAGTGTGGCACAACTTACCTTTCCCAAACTGATGTCTCAGTGCTGTGAAAGAACACAGCATGAGAAGAGCCACTCAATCCAGCAGAATTTTTTTGCTGCTTATGACTATGAAAGCTGTTTTCTCACTACTGCAGTAACAGAATAATAGACCAATCTAACCTCAATAGTGAGGGAGGGATGACAAATGCTGATCTCTTCCTGTGCAAAGTATATGTAGAAGGAGTCCTCGTCTCTCAGCATGGCAGTCAGCCTAAGCAGATGGTTCTCTCCCAACTCTTTTCTGTACCGTGAGTAAGGCACAAAGACCTGCAGGTTGTTAGCTGGAATACAGAGTGGTGAAATACAGATGACAATGCAGATGAGTACAGTCTGGTCTTAGCCTGCATGGCACCTAGGAGTGTTTAGTGCCTGACATTGTACTAAAAGCTCAGCATTTAAAAGCTTAAGTGATCCCAGCTGGATTTGCAGATTCAAAATCTCTAAGGTGATGTCGCCAAAGTGTTTTATTTCAATCACCTACAATCAACTATTCAGCCAACCTTTTGTAAACTTAGGGCTAAGTGCATTTTTCCCCAAGTGAGAGGACTAGATATACTTTTCTAGCCATGCACCCAGTGGAGTCCTTACCTTCATTGCTTTTGAGGATAAAATGAAACTCTTCCTTCCAAAGTTGGGTAATGGGCACACCATTGTAGTGTAGAGACTGGGCCCCCACTACCAGATGAGTAGCCTTTTCTCTACCACTGTGGTTAAACACTGCAATGGAAAGCAGAATATCTTGTCCCAGTAGCAGAGAACTCTTCGACTGGAGGTGGATGAAAAGGTTAACTGGCTCTTCAAGGGCAGTAGGAATGGAGCTAGACTGTGTTTCACTCCTGCTACTGGTTGTCTCAAGTTTCTTTATCTTTCTGTAGGCTTTGTCAAGTACTTCTTTTTCCTGAAGAGAACCTGTCACAAAAAAGGGAGCATATATTTTAGTATTCTTTCCTGTTTACTAGTGTGAAGCAGTAAATGCAGAAGGGTGGTGTTGAATTATCCTGGCAGTACTGTAGATAACTGTTTCTAAGAGCACAGAGAGATATCCTGTTGTGCTTCTGGTTGGAGCAGTTTGAGAATTTCAGCTGACAGGACATTCATTGGATGTACCTGAAAGATACATCTACTTGGAAAGATTTGTCATAGTTTTTAAAGCACCTTGGTGCTAACATCTGTCAGAGTAAAAGAGGCAGTTGCCTCTTTAACTGTAGCTGTAGCTAGGGCACAGTACTATATTCTTTTGTGATGGACTGCAGCCAAGCAGACAACATACCACAGGCTAAGATGAGACGATAAGGTTGGGTCAGGGAAACAGTACCCAGTAATCGATTCTGAAGGGGGAGCTACTTTTTGAGGGAGGGATTTAGACAATATCTGGGAGCACAACAGTCCTTTTCAGACAGCTGGAGTCTGAAATATATCTATATATATTACAGGGGTAATGGGAGGTGAATGTACAGAGTGTACAGGTAACAGAAATCAGGAAAGAAGGTTTTCCAGACAGGAGAGTGCCTGGTGAAGAAAGGCCTGGCCTTCTAGAGAGCTGGTTAATGTAATTAAGCAGGATGACATCTGGGGTATGACATGTGCTTTGGTTCTGTAGACAGCAAGAGTAAGGTGTTCTTGTGCCATTCAGGAAAGAGAAGTAGTGAGAAGTGGATGACCCTAATGCTCTGGTATGGCTCTGCTCTGTAGTCTTTTACTCTTCACTTGTAACACTGGCAGGGAATGTGCTCAGGCACTTGCCTACCCTGTACCTTCAGGATACTTGTAGTTGTGTGTGATATCCTCACAGCGTTCACTGCCCACACTCTTGGTGCTGATGTTGTTGCCAGTGTACTTTGTGTCACCGAGAGCTGGCTTGAGGGTGTCATCTGCTTTTTGTATCCAGACCTGGCACTTGGCATTGATGGCAGCAAAGAAGTAGCAGACATCATAATCAACTTCTGTGTCCCCTTCCTTGATGGCTTGAACAGGGGCTGGCCCACAGAAGGATGGACCTGAAGAGAAAATGTGGCCCAGTTAAGATTCAGATGCTTTACCAACTAGACCCATACCTAGTTTAGACCTATACTGGGAGTGGTGAAGAATCTAGTTGAGGAGGACATTAGGGAGCAGTGCTGTGATAGAGCTCTTAGAGCTACGCAAGCTGCACAAACCAAACATGAATGATGATTTTGTGCTTAATGTCAACAGGGTGAGTCCCTGTCCTTTTGCATCCTTCCATTGGAAGTTGGGGAAGGGAGGAATATTGAACTGCTTTATTTGCTCCCCGCTCCACTCCCCCCGCCCCCAAGCCCATCTTTGATATCTTACCTTTGCTTTTTTCCTGGCAGGTGGCATCCAGTGCCTGCCACCCGCTGTACTCTGGTAGCAAGTCCGCTCGAGCCATCCAGCATTCATTCCAAACGTGGAAGGTCCTGCAAGAGACAACATCATGTGCTTATACCAAGGGACTGAGCCCTGAGGTACAGTAAAATTTTAGCCAAATCACAGCCAAGTAATGCTCCTTTGAGAGAGCTCAGTGCATGTTGAAGAGAGCAGAGACCATGGTTTTTGACACAAGTGGAGTTTCTCCAACTGGACCAGGCTATCATTCTTCCTTTGTGGGCCCTAGTAATAGGGCACTCTTCAGTTTGGGTTGCGGCAATTTCTCAAGAACAGGTCATGTAGACAGGATCTCGGCTGAGCTGTCTCCTATCCACCTCCCTGCAGCTGTTTACCTCTTTCTTTCCCCCCTCATCACTTCCTAGATCCAGGTATTGTCTCAAATTCTTGCCATGTTTTCTTACCAGACACGGGCACTCTTGTCTTGTGTAAGCAGTGTCCCATCTTCATCATAATACTCATCCACACTCAGGCTGCCGTTAGTGTTGTGAGCCCACGTAAAGCCTGTGACCACTCTGGTAGGAATTCCCAGGCACCTCAGAACTGTGCAGAAAAGCGAGCTGTGAATCAGTTGTGCATCCTGCTCTAAGGATACCTCTGCTGATAGATGTAGAGCCTTTTCTGATGTTAGGCCTATTAGGAATGGCACCAGGCCTGCTGTTTGGACTTTGCAAGAGGCATTGCCCCCTCAGGAAATAAGCTATCATAGGTGCGTTCAGTGAATGGTGTGTACTGATACTCTTTTATCTCAAAGCTAGCGATGCTGAATGTTGATGAGGAAATTCTGAGGATCTGCCTCTCACCTAAAGATTAAAGGTTATGTTACTGGGATCTGTGTTAATCCAGGAATTTAGGCATATACTAGGGGTTCTGCAGACCAAATAAGGCTTTGCTCAACACAAAAGTCTTTGAACCACTACTGTACCTGAACACATGACTGCAGCTAACACCCAGCACTGCCCATAGCGGACAGGCTTGCATTGCATTGCAACCCACTGCCGGAGGATGGGGCTGCTTCCCAGCCACTTGGAAGGGGGTGTCCCGTTATAGTATTGCCCGGTCCCACATTCTGTCAGGATTCCTCTAAACTCATCGCAGTTCAGCTGCAGGGAAGGAGGAGAGAAAGATGGATTAAGGAATTGCCTCTCTTTGGTAGCTACACCTCATCCTGTTTGATGAAGCTACTCCCAAGGCAGATGAAACCAAAAGGATTTTTTGTGCAAAGCATGAAGGTCATGGCTGAGCAGAACAGGTGCCAACAGTCTCCCCTGAGATTTATTCAGTAAGTGTACTGTCACTGCTAGGAAACTGCTGCAGCATTACTTGTCTGCTGCAGGAATATCAGGAAGGGCTGGAGACAGGCAGGAGGTGTTGTTTGGAACAGCCCTGGGCAGGCTTCCTCTTTGGTCAGTAGGTTGCCATAAACTGGGATTGAGAAGATGCTAGCCTTCGCTCTGCATTTGGGTGTTCTCTGCTAGGGACAGGGCTGCTGTCTGCTCTCCTTACCATGGCAGCAACTGTGCGGCAGATGTGAATAGGGTTCTTGCGCTGAGTGTGATCCTTGTCTCGTTGATGGCGTTCACCTACATCCAGCAGTGTGAAGCAGATGTCAACAATATCCTGCTCAAACTGAAATAACAACACATCATTTCAGGAAATTTGGCCTGAACATTTTCTGGAGTCCCTGCAAAGGTTTGTAACTGTGCAGATTATTTCTCCCTTTCTGCTGATAGTCTTATATAAGTGGGCTGTGGAGGAGAGCTCCAGGCAGAGATTTGGAGGGGGAGCACAACATACTAAAGGCAGACCTACAGCTTTATTGAAGCAAGGTGGGAAATGCATTAGCATGATACCACATCCCCTGATTGAGGGAAATTGATGCTTTTCTGGGTTGGCACAGGGGTACTTTTGTGATCTGGTGGCACTAAAGTGGAAGAAAATCCCATTCTAATCCCTGGCTGTGACAGATGGCCTTGGGAAAATCGGAAGATCTACTTGTCCTCACTTTACCTGTAAAATAGAGACAGTATTAGTAAGCTCTGTTAAATGCTTTTATATCTGTTGATGAAAGGAAGGCACACAAAGCCCAGATATAGATCAATGCATTTCTTCATAGAGAACAGCCTGAGAAGGTAGCTAAAATTCCATATACTGGGTTGTGGGACTTCATACACAGGTCCCTGTTCTCCTGCACAGTCTTAGACAAAGACAGTGAGTGCAGAGAGCAAGTTCTTTCATCAAAGCCACAGTATGGAAATGGATAGCGTCCTGTACACACAGGAGATACGCATCCTTCCTCTGCTGGTGGCTGTAAAAGAGCACAGGCATATTGGACCTCTTGCTTACCTGGCTGAAGTCCCAGGGTTGTGTTAGGACTGTGTTTTCAGTCCCCCAGTAGATGACACCCTCTTGGTTTAAAATGTACTCCTGCCGCTGTGCCTCATTAGCCAAGAACACCTCATCATCTAGATTAGAGGGAAAAAAGCATCAGGAAAAAAGCATTCGTGGTCTCAGATGCACTTGTATCTTTCTCACATCAGCAGACTCCACTGCACTGCAGGGACTTTGGCAGTCCCTGGCATTCTACCCTGGAAAAATACCACAGATTCTGAATCAGACAGGAAAGAATTTCACTGTCATCTCTGTTTCCTTGTTCAAAAAGTTCCTCCAGACCTAGGCGATTGCACTAGCTAGCTCTTTTACTCTCCTGGCTGTTGACTTCTCTATTCCTAAGAAAGATACAGTGGCCTTAATCAGTCCGATTATAATCTTGACTCATCTTAAAATCTTCATTATAGGAAACACTTTATCAAATATTTTTCCTTTAGCAGGAGAACAGGGCTCTGGCAGTGGAGTACTCCAGGAACAAGGCAGAAGTGCTGAGGCAGGCAGCTTTGAGCTTTTATTAGCCCCTACCTCCTTCCTAAGGTGCTGTGAGGAGCAGGGCAGGAGTGGCGGGGAGCACTAGGTGAGTCAGCCTCAAACTCCATGGAGGCAGAGTGCCAGAGCTCAAAAGCTGTTTTTGTGAAGTGACTGATCCCAGCCTGCCTTTCTGTTTCTGACCACATACCTTGGCACCAGGGATTAAAGAGAAGGGTGAAGTTGCCCAGGAGATGGTAAGACTTGGAGGCATGTAAAAGCAGAGCATACTGGCCAATGGGAGCATTGGCAGGCGTGTTCACACAGATGGTCCAGAAGCATGGGTCCTGTTCTTCCAGTGCTGCGCTCCACTGCTTCTTGTCTCCCAGGCTGGAGATGGGAAATTCAGTCTGGGTTCCATCTGCTTTGGAAGGATGTGATCCTGCAGCCAAAGAGATCTGGTTGTGTCTATTCCAGACATGCATCCTCACCCCATGCAGATTGCAGGGACCTTGTCTATATCTGGAGCTATAGCTCTCCTTTCTTGTGAGAGAGTCTTACCCCTTTAGCAGCTTAATGCCTAGTGAATCTTCCTAAGGTTAGTATTGCACTCAGGCCTCTATGTTTGAAAGTGGGATGTGTATTTCATAGATTTGTAGAAACCTGGAACAGACAGAATGGTGCAGACCTGGTGCTCCTGGGATTCAGTGTTTTGTAACAAAAGTCACAGCCAAATGCTCAGATTATGGTAAAATAAGCTGGGCCTGAATGCTGCTGCCCTTCTCAGGTGTCTCACTAGAAAACACTCTGTAACAGAAAACACCTGTAACAGGCTAGCTAAGTTTGAACATTCCTAAACCAAAAGCCAGGAGAGAGAGGAGAGATCCTGTGAGTACTTTCAAGTCATAGAGTAGTGAACCTGCATTGGTTATTGTGCTGCAGTGTCTCTTCTGGAAAGAGATCTAGTTTTGACCCTGCAGTCCCAGCAGCAGGAGACCCTACGCTGCCTTAGATAAACAGTTCACTGGCCTCACTTCTACGTGTGGGCACCTCTGTCCAGCTCTGAAGATGGCTTTTGCCACCAGCTCTGTTCTTCAGGTGGGTGAAGGACCAGAGCTCCGATAGGTATGGTAATGATGTTACCTGTCTGTACTATGAGGAAGGTCCTCTTCAGCTGCTGCAGGTAGCTGTGTATTGGAGCTGAGAAGCTCACGGTGATAGTGAATGGCTGCCCCCGCCTCACCATAAGCCTTTCAGTGCTGATTTCTTCTGTGTGGTGGTTATTGTTGTTCATTGTGATCTTGAAATCACATTTTTTGATGCTCAGACCTGTAGTGTGAGAAGATACAGCATGAGTTTGGGGCTGTGAGCTACCCGCAGTCTGGCCCTGGGCCACATCCTGAGACACACAAACAGCTGATCATACGTTCCTCCACTCAGACAGTGCCCCCCTGCCTTTGAGACTTGCTGCCCAGTAACTGTAAGGGCCTTCACTCTGAGCTTGGTTGTTCTTGTGTCAAGTGGCTAATGAGCTGCCTTTGCTTATACCTTGGAATCATCAAGTGAACCAAGTGATTATGCAAAAGCTCCTTCCTGCCCAGGAAAGGACATGGAACAGACCTGAGCATTCAAATGATACAGATTTTATGGTTAGCACTGAGCATGCACTGTGACTACATTTGGAGTCTTACTCTGTACTCAAGGGCACTGATGGCACTCAAAGCAGCATCTCTCCACATCGATATGTGGTCGAAATTGTGCACAGGAGACAAGCAATTACACCCCACTTGCAAGATGGGTGCAAGCTTTTCCAGCAGTTACTGCACTATGTATGTCTGATATGCACCAAAGACCAGCAACTGGTGCAGACTTCACTGCTGGTTCGAATGCAATGTGGCTGTATAGTCCTGGAACTATGCTGGATCACAGCAAATCAAACACCTGTTGTTCCTTCTTTGCACCGCATTACTTGGCAATCTCACACCCAGAGCTGCAGGAGACAGAAGAGCTCCTCCTCCTCCTGTCTCCTACACATGCATTATACACATCGTGCATGCTTCTGTCCAGCACCAGAAGAAGAAAAAAATTGTCACAATTACAAGCACCCAATTCAGTGCTCAATGGCTGTGCTGTGATCATGTACTTGCGTTTTTCTTCTGGTTTTGGTGGTGGTGTGAATCTTTCCAGACTTCTTGCTGAGAAGCAGGTAACACCCTGGTTTGTCTCAGCCTTGGGATGATCCTGACCTCACGTATCTCTTCAGCTCCCAACTCACCACTGAGATCCTTGAACCTGTGGGTTGTAACTGCTGCCCCTTATATGACACATCCTGTCACCTACCTCCCCTTGCTGACCCAGGCTCCTCCCTTTGTTCCAGCTAAAAAAAAAAGTAATCCACAGAGCATTTCCCTGCTATCTAAAGCCATCGCTCCTGTGCTAAAGTCACAACTACTACTCTTTGCAGTTTTCATTGGTCTGCTCTTTCCTTATGTCTAACTTCCCTTGTCCTCTGCATTGATACCTTTCTTCTCCCATTGCTGTTGTTCCTTCTGTGTTTGTTGTGGGAGTCTCACTGGATTGTGTGCTTTGTTTCTTTTTTCCCGTATGAATTTTGTCAGGCGTTCCTTTCAGTGAACGATTCTGGTCTGGCTTTCAAATCCCTTTACAGCTGTCCCAGTTCACAGCCCTGCACCAGTTTAAGCTTTAGAGAGCCAGCTCTGACCTCATATATTTTCTTCTCTGTGATGAAGATGTCTGTTCTGGCTATCTTGTAGACTGGTGAGTCATATGCAGTCTGGCTCCCTCTCCTTCACATGACTTTTCATGGATCTTACTGTCAGTTTCTTCAAGGTTGCTTGGAACCTGGATCCTCTCCTTGCTCAAGTGGCTAAAACAGTCATCTCTGCTTTAGTTTTGTAGTCTGGCTTACCTCCCCCCACCCCCTGCTCCCCATCCCCTATGTTAAGGATAACTCTCTTGCCTTTACTTCCAAACTCTCACATGTCTGCCTTAGCTGCCTCTTACTGCTTCTCTCAAACTCCTCTTAGGTATTGATACCAGCTTTTGTTTGCTGTCCCCTTTTGTGCAGTCCTCCGTGCAAATTGAACTCCCTTAGCCTTTAGAGCACTTTCTTGGCTCCTGCCCTGTAAGAAGCTCACCTCTTCTACAAGCCTCATGAACACTGTCTTGGAGCAGGGACAGTTGCTTTTCCTGACAGAAAACTGGCAAATGCTTGGGACTAACCAAAGTGATTTTTGCTTACCTTGGCCCATGTCTAGTTCCCTGTACCGTGAAAGTCTTCAGCTCCTGCTTGTTCTGGTGGGCAATGGCTCCTTCCTTCAGCTTTCTTTAAAAATTATCCACTTGCGAAGTTGTTTGTTCGATTTCTTTATACAGGGTGGGACGTGATGTTGCCACCTCTCCTTCAGCTTATCGTGCTGGCCTGTTGTGCAGAAGTTGAGGACTCTCTTATCTCTCAGACCACACTGAAGAGACCCACAGAAAGGGGTGACTTTTCCTACCTACAGATGATGTTAAATTCCACAGCGGGATGTGAGGCCTTTAAAGACAGCCAGTGACAATTTCTTCAAAGAGCTGTGCATTAGGGACCCCAGAGTAGGAAATGCAAATCTTAACTTGGCTCTAAAAAATGCACAGAATGCACTTCAAATGTAAATGTTGAAGAGCTGCTCTCCCACATTGATGCTAAGCTACTTAGATCCTAAACCCTTCAAGGAGTAAAAAAAAAAAAAAAAAAGTCAATACATCCATTGCCATTGTGCCTAATTCAAAAAAGTGAAACCACTTCAAAATGAGGAAACTTGCTAAAAGCAACAACTAAAAATAGTAGAATTTCTGTAGCATAATGCAGACTATTTAAAAATACCACACTGGAGACTTGGACTAAATACATTCTTAAAGTTGGTGTAATATAAAAGGAAGGTCACTGCATTGATCCCTAAAGGAGTAAAAAAAAAAAAAAAAAGTCAATACATCCATTGCCATTGTGCCTAATTCAAAAAAGTGAAACCACTTCAAAATGAGGAAACTTGCTAAAAGCAACAACTAAAAATAGTAGAATTTCTGTAGCATAATGCAGACTATTTAAAAATACCACACTGGAGACTTGGACTAAATACATTCTTAAAGTTGGTGTAATATAAAAGGAAGGTCACTGCATTGATAAATAATTGGTCAAAAGACAGGAAATAAGACAGAAATAAACAGTTTTCACTGTGGTGTCAGTCACCAGTAGTTTTGCAGAAATCTATGATCTTCCACAAATTCATGAATAATTTGAGAAGCTGATAAAAAGACATGAGGTGGCAAAGCTTGCTCAGTTATTCTGAGTAGTAAAGATGAGGGAGGCAGCTTTGGAAAAGTTGTAGAGGAATCTGAAGATAGTGAATGACTAGGCCATAAAATAGCAAGTAGAGATCAGTGTAGGCACATATTCAATAGGAAAAAGGGTCCTGTATCTTACATAAGCAGTGATGCATTCAGAGGTAGTTGTAGCCATTCCAGAATGAGATTTGGGTTTATACTAGATAGCTGCTGCACAATACAGTCCAGTAAGCTTGGTGTTTTTCTTAGTATTTGCATATTAAACTTCACAATTGCTTGCTTATAAGCATCATTTAGGCTAAATACAAACTCTCTTCGTTTTAGTCATTTACAGCATAGCCTTAATTGTATAGATTCACCTTCAGAGAGTCGCAGAATGGCTGAGGTTGGAAGGGACCTCTGGAGGTCATCTTGTCCAACCCACTGCTCAAGTAGGGCCACCTGGAGCTGCTTGCCCAGGAGCATGTCCAGACAGCTTTGAGTATCTCCAAGGATGGAGACTCCGCAACCTCTCTAGATCATTTTACAATGTTGACAACAGACTGCACAGCGTGGTGCTTGCAGACAAGGAAAGATGCCCAAGCGACCA